GCAAAGTGAAAGGATACGGGGCTGTAAGACAGAAAAAATTAAGTATGTTCAAAAGAAAGGAAATGTTTCTCTACAACTTGCTAAAAATAATTTAATAACTGGTCTACAAGGGTAAAATGCTTTCATAACAAGAATTCTGAAGAATCTCACGAATTACTAGTAGATAAAGAAACTGATTAAACAAATTTAGGTAAAATTGCATCTATGGCAAACTAATTTCATTCAGAGGATGAAAACTAATAAAATTTAAGCAAAATATCATGTTATTTTGTTATATCATGTTGCAATCATGTTAATCATTCTATTTATCTACAAGTAATTCGTGAGACCCTTGAGAATTCTTGTTATGAAAACATTTTACCCTTGTAGACCAGTTATTAAATTTTTTTAGCAAGTTGTAGAGAAACATTTCCTTTCTTTTTAACATACTTTTTTTTTTTTTTTTTTTTTTTTTTTTTTTTTTTTTTGTCTTTCAGCCCCCTATCTGTCACTCTGCTACCTGTACTATATGCACATATTAAGCAAATTTTGAACGTATTTAAATCTAAAAGCATTACTTTTAGAAAACTGAAATTAAGCTAAACTTATTTGAAAAGTTATTGATGACCCATGAGCAGCAAGTGACCAATAAGATCTTTCTGGAGACTGCAGCAAGGTTCCGAAAATTTACTGACAGGATTTCTATATTAATTATACATTTCCATAGTGCTAATTATTTTAGGTATACCTTCTTACAAAAATTATTTGAAACTAAATCAACCAAAAAGCCATGCCTAAGAGAAGCTTTTTGTGGGGAGCTTTTTAAAGGAAATTAGCTTGTATTTGTGTTACCCATACTTAAAAACCAACAATGCAGCCAGACCATTCACCTGGGTTCAAACTTAGAATCAAACAACCTGTGTTCAGGTGACATAGCAACTCAGCTACAGGTCGGGCATCTCTAAGTTACCAGTATTTATACTCTTAAATGCTTTTTAAAGTGTGGCACTAACATGCAACTATAAACACCTTCAAAGGTTAAAAAAGTTCACTTTCCATTGACTGAAAGTACAACAGAAAGGCAAAAACCAAGACGGGCAACTACTACAATTAAGCTTTTATGTAATTCGACCAAAATAAGAGGAAAATTAAGACAGAACTTTAAAAAAATGCTTAGTTCAACACTATGATAAGTTTTAAAAAAATCTATCGAGAAAATAAAAGAGAGAACAAGGGGGAAAACCTTCTAAAAATAAAATTAAAAGCAAAATAGAACACACAAATCAAGCTGTTCTAGAACAAAGCTTAAAAATTGAGGATATTTAACCAGAAAGAAAATAATCCTAATTATTAATATCCTAATATTATATGATTGCTTAGGAATATTGAACAAAATTATATGATTGCATTACTTAATATACAATTATTTCTCAATAATTATTAATGCTTATATTAAAACTTCTAATATTCACAAAAGAAAAATGGTGTAGCTGTTTTATTTATAATTTTTTAAGGAACCTAACAGCCGTGTTATATAGGGTTACTAGCACAATACTTTTGTTCTGTGCTCACTAGCTACGACGGGTATAAAAACTGCTTTTTTGACAAGTATTTTTTATGCTCCTACTAAATCAACAGATTTTATTTAATACTATAAAAGGTATCTTAAAATATCCAGAAGGTCATATATTAAGTTAAAATATCTAAAAAAATTTTCATATATGATATGTAATTTGGTGACAAAGCAACATAAAAATAGACGCAATGTTATAAGCTAATATCAAAACAGTTAAGTATAAATAAATCACAAAATTAACACCTAAAAACACACATACAATTTAATAAAACTTTTAAAATAACCTCATTCATTCAGAATGTGGTTAAATAACAAAATATCCAATGTAGAACTATCCTGGTAAAAATGATGAAAATGTAAATACTACAGTAAAAGTTAAATGTGATATTTTCAAACATTTTTAATTATTACATATTTTTAAAAAGAAAAAAAAATTACAAAAATCTTGCACTTCATACAAAATTTCTTTGAAATTTTACAGGTGAATGCCACATGCACTGAAAGCCAAACTTTACCATGAATAAAAAATATTTAAAGCCATTCTTAGGAAGTGAAAAACTATTTATGATTAGCATCTGCTTTCAGAACATTATTGCTTAAAGCAAAGTTAATATAATACAAACCATATGCAGTTTTTTTACACAAATTCTATTGACAATTTCATACTTAAAAAACAAATGTTACGCTTAGACATTTTACTGGTCTAAAGCTATAAACCAAGCTTGAAAATAAAAATATTCACCCACTCTTTCATAAAGATAATACAATGATATTTGATTAAAATTCTAATCTGAAATATATTCATCTTCATTGATACAAGTCTATTATATCTCCTCTTCTGTAACATTCATACACCCAGTATGCTATATTATAGATGCCCTTTATGATTCATTTTTATTTTAAAATTAATAATTCAATGCTCAGTCAGTATTAACTATTCCAGCATAACTAAAGTTATTGATTATTCATGATGATTTTTGTGTTACATTAAGGCAGGGCCAAATCTTTTAATCTCATGAATGAAACACAATCCTGGTACATTAAACACCATAAAAAAAGCAAATATATTTATTTCACTGATGTGCTCTTAATACTTCAAATATTTGACATTGCTAATGATATGGCTTTTTACTTGATAATAATATGGGATTGACAGCCTTGAAATTACATCTCAACACTTAAAGAGCAAAGTAAAACTTCATTACAAATAAAATTAGATAAAACTTATGAAATGACATTTTAGCACATTCAGCTAGGAACATCAAATGATACTCTTAATTTCAGGCACATAAGTACAAGTAGAAATCTATTTATAGAGCATGGCATAACTTATTTTACATTTTCCTATCTTGTGGTGTTACCTGCCTGAAAAAATACACTTAAATAGAAAGATAAAAGCAGCTATTGAACACAATACTAATTTCAAAAATTTGCTTAATAGACTATGAAAACTATAACTGAAAATTTTATAGTTAATGAAATAACATCACCTGTGGATTAAAAAAAAAAAGATTTTCCTTATATTTTACTCTTATTATTACTATTTTCAAAAATAAATGAAGACATATAAATTAATGATTATTTCTTATTTACTTTTCCCAGGAGTTGCACTGGCAAGTTCATAATGTTTTCAGTAGTTAATATTACCAATATTCATTTTAATATCATTGAGTAGCACGGACCTTCCAAAAGATTTAAAAAAAAAAAAAAAACAGAATTTGCTCTTATACAAGGGATATAAAATACCTTCAGTGTAACTATTTTATGATGAATTGGACATTCACAGTCATCCACTATGTAAGGAATGTACATTTCATACTAAGTCTAGATGTATAGTTACAAGTCTTAGTAAAAAAATTATATTTTTTGACGTCACAAAATTGCAACATAGAAAATATCTTTTAAAATTCATTCGATATTGTAATAAGGTTAGCAAAAATTTTACACACAAAAAATAATGATGAAGTCATCAGATTTTCATTGCATTTGTTAAATGCCAAAAAAAATTTTAACCTCTCCAAAAACTTCAAAAAGTAATAATTCAAAAGCCCAAAAATGATGTCTAAAACCTCTATGTAACATTTTACTTAAAATTACAAAATACTGACTCTATAAATATTTCAAGGCTAATCATATTTTAGAACTATATAAAGTAGATTCCCCATTAACTGACATAATAACGAGGACAACACTCTTGGTTAATCCAACAGCAGTTTATAAAACACATGAAAAAGAATAACCCATATTGTAATTAACAGAAAAATACTATTAACAATTTATATGTATTTTTACGCAGTTTTATTTAGAGAATAAATTCAACGGGTTCTGTAAATAAAATAAGCATTCAAAATAAGAATACACTTCAAAATAAAGAGAACATTTTTACTTAAACTAGACTTATACTGTGATAGAAGTCAACAAGAAACAGAAGAGTAAGGGCTGTGCATTTAATTTATACTTAATGATTTAGCAATTAATTTTTAACACATTCACTGCCATCTATGAGAATACCCATAGTTAGTAACTTAGTTTATTTGTCAAGATAACTCATTATACCTAAATCATCAACTACAGGTATTGCCATAGCAAATGCATGCATAGTTTAGATGTTTGGTGTACAGGAAAGGAGTAAATGATACACTAGGCACACTGAAAGGATCATCTACTTCTCAAAACATAGGTAGAATAATTAAATACTTAGAATGCAAAACCATTTTTGGGGGTTGGGGGATATTCACTTGAAAATGTTACAAACTACTCAAATTTTTGTTCAGTTAACTCGTGCAAGACTAAAGGCCCATTTACACTAGCAGAACTTTGTTGCCAAGAGACATATGCTCTATCTATACTAAGTGAAGCAGTAGGGTATCATATGTTTCTTGTGAGCGAAGTTCTGCTAGTGTAAACAGCCTTAATGGAAAATAACATATCCACTGCAGGGGTTCTGTCTGAATCCAAACATGTAAGTGCTGTTTGTTTAACTGTGTTACCTAGTTGCTGGTAGAGAGCAAAACTATTTCATATGCTAAATATGTATGCACTGCTACAATTTACAGCCGAAAATAATCTTTTACATATATATATTTAAATAACAAAACAATTGGATAAAATTTTATAATGTCAAAATATGGACAGGATCTTGGCTCACGTGAATGGATGCACTGAATTGGGTTTGGCAGCGAATTTGTTAATGAATCATTTAACAACATTAATACTATCCACATTATGTGCAATTAAATTATACATGCTGTGATTAAAAATATCTTAACCCTCTGACTGCTCAATTTGTGGACCAAAATCGCTTCCAAAATTGTGTAATTTTTTTTTTTTTTTTGTTTTAAATTTTAAATCTATATATATAGGAGAATTGAAAAATGCACTTTTTCTTTCTAGAAAATATTTTTTATGTAGATTTTTATCATGAGAAACTAAGCTGTCAGAAAAACCAATTTCAGATGTTATCACAAAAAAAAAAATCTTTTTTAAAATAAATTTCAGTCGAATTACAGTTAATTTCTATTTATCGCATAATATAAAATGTATAAAATTTAAGAAAATATAAAGTGCAGAGTTCAAACTTCACAGTCTTTCAATAATTCAATAATTTAATTAAATAATCAAGATAATCGCTGAATGTTTTCTGGCAGCCATTTCTGTAAGAAAAAAGTGAAGTTTGAGCGCTAATACCACGTTCCTTTAAATTCTGCAATTTAGTGGACAACTAATGATATCTGTTTGGCAAAACGTAAACTAAACACATAATACTGTATATAATTTATTTCAATGGTTAAACAGGATGCGCTCCTCAATAAAGGAAGAAAAACATATGCCCGCGCAAATTTTGCTACATTTGAGTTGCCCGTGGAAATCGCGGGATGATCAGCCAGAGGGTTAACTACTCTGACACCAACTGCCATCACTGTTGCTATTCCATACACTCTCTTTTGTATTTCCTCCACAGAAATTTTGCCTTATTCTGATACTTTGTGACAATAACCTTTCTATCATTTTGCAATAAAGAAACTTTTTTTAAAGACAGGGCCTAGTTAATCCGCATATTGGTTACTGGGATTTGACAGTATATATTTTTAATAATATAAATAAATGTTCTAAAATGCATTTAATAAAATCGCTGAACTAGCAAATGCAATCAAAAACATATACCTATTATAATATCAAGCATAAGCACATAAAATCACAAATACTGAATATATCTGTATCATCAAATAACAAAAGTTAAAATCACAAATACCGAATATATCTGTATCATCAGATAACAAAAGTTAAACTAGAATTTAACATAATATGTGTATGACTGAAGTATGAAATATGTGCAAATTAAAATATAATGAACACATTTAAAAATAAGAAACAATGGAAATTTACATTTTCTACTAAGAAACATGCACAGTCTCTAACATCCCTTTGAAGTAACAAGTTAAAATATGCGTGTCAGTTTTTATTAATTACAAAGAGATTTGATGACATTTACCAGACCTGGTGACATTACAAAAGCAATCACAGGCAATGGCTTCTCTCCAAAGCATGTTACACTTAACAGAAGAGATGGGATCAGGAGATTTTTCACTTGGCACTCTAATGGCAATTCATGGACTGGAGGTATATTTCATCTACATGAGCTTCGGCCAGGTGACTGATGGGAAGCTGAAAATGGCACGAGTGGTACAGGACTATCCACAGAGATTCGTCGAAGAAAATGAAAACTGAACAGCATAAAATAAAAACGTAAATTGAACAAGTTAAGAATTTGTCATGCAGAAGGGTTAATATATTAGATTTTATGCAGAGAAAAGCTAAGGGAAAAAATAATTAATAAATAAATAAATGAAGTTTTTAAAATTATAAAATAAAAAATGAGTGAAACAAAATAAAATAAATAATGGAGGAAATTTTAAAATAACAAAAGTACTTTCATTCTTTCATAATATAAAATAAATATTTTAATTTCCAAAAATTACAGAACAAAATTCTGCATTACTTACAATCTACGAATTCCTAATCTTTTCTTTTCAGGATATAATTTATCATCTGGCTCTTTATTGATTGGTCCTTGAACAGGAAGATCCTCTTCCTCATTCTGAAGTGACAGAGCTGCTAAGCTTGAAGAACTATATCAATATAAGCAAGAATTAATACATAATGAATAAAATGTCATAATGTCAGACAAGTTATCAACCAAAAAAAATTCAATTTTTTACAAATCAGAACATACTTAAAGGCCTTAAAATATTTTCAACACAAAAAGCATACAAAAGTCTAAAACAGTCTAAACAGTCCACTTTGTAGGAAAAGTTTTCTCGTGATTATATGTTTTGACTGTTCTCTCTCTCTCTCTCTCTCTCTCTATATATATATATATATACACACACAGATACATATAAATACCTGTATGTGTATTTATACAACCAAAGCATGTTAAAATGACTTGTGGCAACATTTTCTTCAACTAACCACGAACCATGTACAATTAAAATAAATCCATTTATCTTCATCTGCCGAGGTATTCAATCACTAGTTTAACATTGTTTAAGATTATTCTGCTGAATATTTCTTTCAAAAAAAAAAAAAAAAAAATTCCAAGGGGTAGGCAAAAAGTTACAAAGAAGTGAAAGCTTATAAAAAGAGTTTACAAACAACCGAATTAAGAACAAAAAGACTGAAATCATTGCCTACAGAGATTTCTTGCCTCCCAGTATCTTAACTGTTCTTTATAACCATGAGGAGCCCCACATCGGAGCAGGTGGTCTCCGTCTATTTCTTCTCCAAAATCCCTAAGTGGGCAAATAGGATCGCTTCAAACGCCTATGTGGTGCACGTGGGTGGCAAGGCAATCATGTCCTGTAGATAGATTGAAAGGCACAACTCCATAGCCTCTTGGACTATCGGGAATAAGAGGACTTATCATTAATCAACTTTTAGGCTGTACAATTCTAAAATCTTGTAAGATATTAGATGAAAATAAATTTTTTGAAAAAATTTTAATTTATTAGGATGTTGTTAAGCTGGCACCACTTTTGGCAAGGAAGTCCACTTGTTCATTACCCTAAAGGTCACAATGGCCAGCCCCCCCCCCGAATGGAAAACAATTTGTTTCTCTTTTAAAGTCACAGTTCTCAGGAATTCTTGATACTGCAAAATTTTAGGTGTTAATGGGTGTTTAACAAAGCTAATATATTGAATAGCTACGTGAGAATAAAAAAAAATGACTGCCTTTGCAAACTTGTAATGGATAGCTAATAACTGCTTTAGGGCTATACATACGGCTACTAATTTATAATTAAAAGAGATAGCAATGTATCCTGCAGGGGAATAAAAAAAGATTCAAAAGCATACCAGCCACAACTTTAAAATGGAAGTCAAACTGAGAACCACCAGCAAAAATGCGCAGCCACTAACTAGGTGGATATCTAGCCACAATGGTCTCCAAAGTGAGACATTCCAAACACTTGGTGCAACATCTCTCTTTCAATGGATCGTTTCCACCAGGTCTAAATTTACTTTGACATTAATCACCTCCAAAGGGTTTATGGTTGTCAAGAGTAGTTTTATATTACCTGGAATCTCAAGATCTTTCTTAATGTCTAAGACTTTTTGAATAAATCCATATTCGGTTTTTAATTTCCTAGACTTGACTACGTAGTCCCTCCAGTAGGGATCCTCTATCCGCAGTAGCTTTCATAGAGAACCAAGGCCCTCAATTTCATAATATCCTGGAACAGTTTATTTCCTGTCAACAATAACATTGCATCGATAGGTGTGGGTTTCATAGCTCCTGTAATCAAGCGAAGAAGAGTTTGGTTTTGCATCACTTCAAGCTTATAATTAACCAACGATTGTGGAGCTGTGATAAGAGCTTCACAACAATATGTCATTAAAGGAAGAATAAATTATTAAATGTAATGTCAAGAGTGGACCGAACACACCCCCATATACTAAAAATACTAAGTCTATTTGAAACACATTCAGTAAGCTGCTCAACATGAAGCTTCCAACTTATTATCAAAAGTCACTCCCAGATAAGTAAAGTTGTTGTGTTGATAATCAAAGTATCTTGGTACTTTAAGACTGCGGGGAAAATTTCATGGGTTAAACGAAAAGACTGTGAAGCTGTCTTTTCTAAATGTAGTCATGTTATTTTCTTCACACCAATTAGAAAGTACCTATAAGGCCTTATTTAATCAACTTTTAAGAAGGTTTTTTTTTTTGTCCCATGTTTTGGAGCCTTGGTCCATTGCCAAATTAATAGCAAATACTAGACAATTAATACCATATTGATTTAAGAGAAGGGTGCAATATAGATACACCTCCTCGTGTGCACCCTTGAAATGCTTTCCAGCTAAGTGATCTACAATTTTGGCATGCAGGCTTCCCACTCTTCGTTCTTCTGAACATTTCACATGAAAAACAACTGACCTAAAAAAATCCCTGCCAGAAAGGCAGTAACACTGTTCAATGCATGAAAAATGTGTAAATATAAAATGTTAATCAGTTTTGCCATGCACTTGAATTACATGAAAAAGTAGATAAAATATAGAATAGTATTTATTTATTTACAAATGCCTGGCTTTCCTTGCTTAACACATTAGAACAGTCGGGTCCGTGACACTTAGCCGACAGGTCATTCAGCCTACATGGACAGTTAGCCGACAAGGACACTTAGCCGACAGGGCATTTAACCGACATGCACAGTTAACTGACAGGACATTTAGCTACAGGACACTTAACTGTCAACAGGTTACCAAGCCGACAGTTACGTTTAACTGACACGTACCCAAAAATTATTTAAACTATCAATTACAAAATTTCACACCTACTCCATTAAGTTCAATATTTAAGTCATTTTTTCACATATCAGTAAAATTCATTTTTTGATTCTTAAAGATCTCATATGTGCTATTAATTATTGTGTTAATTTAGCATTGTTTGATATGTATCGTGCTTTTGGTGTACATTGGCCAAATTGAAAAAGGGAATATGAATTAAATTTCGAAAGGAAAAAAGAATTTTTTTAGCTAAGTACGGCGGTCACTTAATTACATTTTAATATGGTCTTCAAAAATTATCCCAAAAGCGAGAAAGAGAAGGAATGAAAGAGAAAAATAAATAAAATTAATGAAAAATTAAATGAAAATTTATACACTTTTAACAGATATTGCGAAAAGTTATACTTTATAGGAAAACATTAATATAACATATTATATTGAAAATTACACATCGTGAATTTTAAAACACAGTACATAATATTTCCTATTTACATGGCTGATCCAGTTAAATCTTGCATCAACAGATAGCACCACGCTACAGTGACTTTTACGATGTGATGCTTTGTTCCACACTACTAGGTTTTGTGCAGCTTCAGTTATAAAAAAAACAAAACCTTAAAGAATATTTTTATTCTAAATTAAACATTATGCTCTAGTTTAGGGCTATAAACATTAACCTAAGTAAGTATTTTTTGCGAGAGGCGTGGTCAATAAAATGTTACAGAATTGTTATCTCGAGAATGGTGGCATGAACTGCAAATTATAGAGGTCACAAATAATTTATTATCTTAAAATATTAGATATTATTTTCTTGATATTTTATTATCTTTATTATCCAATCTTAAAAATTCACTTTTTTAAATTGTTTTTAATAATAAAATAAAATATATTTGCTAAACTAACCCTCACCACCAAAAGTAGTTCTATAAAAAGTACAATTCAAGAATAAAAATTTTTATTACTTTATTCAGATTTTTCATGACAGGAAAAGGAAATTTCATTAGTGGGAGGAGCCAAACAATTTTGTAAGGGAAAGAATGTAACATGATGTGATGAGTAAAATAGTAATGAAACGTAATTAGAAATTTGAAATTTGAAAGCATTTGGAAAATCAATATCATTAAGCAAACAAGAAAAATTATTAATGATGTGAAAGTGTTTTCAAAAGAACCCAGTTGATTAAATGAAGAAGTTTTATGGATAATTTTTGAAGATCCCACATGAAAATGTAATTAAATGACCACCGTACTTAGCTAAAAAATTATTTTTTCCTTTCGAAATTTCATTCATATTCCCTGACGAGATATTTCAGGGTTTTTTTCAATTAGGCCAATATACACCAAACAGCACGATACATATCAAACAATGAACCGAAAAATGAATTTTACTGATAGTGAAAAAAATAACTTAAATATTGAACTTATGGAGAAGTTGAGAATTTTTGCAATTGATAGTAAGTTTGAATAATTATTGGGTACGTGTCAGCTAAACGTCACTGTCGGCTTAGTGTCCTGTTGACTAAATGTGTTGACCGTCAAAAGTCCTGTAGCTAAATGTCCTGACGGCTAACTCTCTGTGTCGGCAAAATGTCCTGTCGGCTAAGTGTCTTGTCAGATAAATGTCTGTTTCGGCTAAATGGCCTGTCGGTTAAGTGTCTGTATTGGCTCAGTGTCCATGTCGGTTAAATGTCCTGTCAGCTAAGTGTCTCTGTCGGCTAGATGTCTTGTCAGCTAACTGGTGTCGGTTAAGTATCCCGTCAGCTAAGTGTCCACGACCAAGAACAGTCTTGCCTCTTGGTATTTCCATGGTGCAGAATTAACATAGAACAGTCTGATCCTAAAAAAAACTATTCACCGGATAGTACGCTTAGTGGCAGAAATTAACTTTTGATTTCTTTGGCTTGAAAAACTCATAACAGACCATTCTATTACAATTCAGCTTAGTATTCACATGACTTTGAAAGCAAAACTTTGTAGATCAGCAACATACTTCTTGCCTTGGTTATGTTCAGGTAATAGTAAAAGCTGAATGCTTTATCAACAGTTACAGTACTTTCCAGAGGAATTTATTATCCAGATATAGAAACTGGCTCTACAGTAATCCACACCTACAGCCATTAATCTGAATTCAATACAACTTAGCACTTTTCTTGACCATTACTAGCTTTTTTGGGGGGGGATGCTGCAATATAATGGTATGTAGACTTGAGTTTTCCAATACAAGGCTACCAAGTCTTTGTAGATTAAGATCTTAAGAGTTAAAAAGTTTTTTTGAGGCTTCCATCCTATTTTCACTATCGGGCTCACTTTCTCAGGGATGCTATCCAGATTCAACTTCAGTTGACA